GACTAGGAGTCGACGCAAGTGTTTATAGACGGGCAGTCCCCCGACACCTAATTTTGGGAACGCGTGGAGGTTTATAGAGCCTATGAATAATGAATAGATTGCACATGTTCAAAACAATCTTGCATACAGCACTCGAAGCCGCCAGACGGGATTCACACATCAGGACAAACGGTGGCCACGCGAAACGGCCAGCCGCGGGAACCTGACCGGTTGACCAACCGACACGCCGGCCGCTCATGCCGTGCGCACGATTGGACGGTTATACTGACGGAAAAGAGGACTTGGCGTGCCTAGATCCGGTCCATGTGAGCGGAACCGTAGAAAAAACGTGGGCTTGCATCAAAGCTCGTGCAACTGGACAATGCATTGTGCATGTGGACGTTGGAGTTGACGTTTGACGTTTGACGTCTGGCGGGTGGCTACCAAACAAGCCTGAGCAGGACCCGCCGGGAAGGAGCACCCTGCCGATACCAGACGGAAGGGGCCGACCCAGCACGTTGCTAGTCCCTTGGCAACCTTGCGAAACAGGGTATGGCCTGGTCTCCTGGCGCGCCGTCTGGACGTCAACGCCTAACCCTTGGCAGCTGGCCGGCCTCTCTCTGCCAATCGTCCTTGCGGTACCAGCCAACGCCGTGAACAGCATACGTACGACATCGGCTGGCCACCTACATACTGTACGTAGGGCTGACCCCGACCAGGATGCCCCCTGTGTTGGGCCGGCACGATGGAGTTTGACAAGTGCTACAGGCGATTGTGCGCGCGACGTCAAGAAATCCTCTTCAATTTGCCTCAACCAGTGCTTGACCGCGGACTCTGGGCGCTGTGCTGATTCTACCCCTCGCACCGCCCTTGCACATTCTACTTTCTACCCAAGATCAAAGCCAACTATGCCCGTAGACTGACAGAGGAATAACACCTCCAAACTTATCGATGCACCGATTCGCAGATCAGACGGTAGTGGTGTTCCTCTGATCTGACCACTCTCGCACCTGGACTCGGCGCTGGAGGCACCACTGTCTGCAGCGATTTTTCTTCTAATTAAAAAAATCACAATACAAGAGTTAGCTTCGCCCGCTTGTCTTGGGGATTCACGTGCAGGCTTACCGTCCGATGGCGTAGATTGTTTCCGCGCAAGCATGCACCGGCACTTGGTCCACCACGCCCACACGACGACGATGGCTTGCGGGACCGCAACGACGAGTGCTACCATCGCGACGGCAGTTTCCTGGCTCAATGCCATGTTTTGACTAGAAAAGATGAGTTGCTGTGTTTGTGCAATGAGTGACAAGAAAAGCGCAAACTTTGATGCCGCTGTTTGGGCACGGCAGCTTATATCTGGACTCTGAGATGGGAGGCTCGAGACAACGAGGGCAACGGTCCGGTATGTGCAGTCATAGCCACCACGCTGGACAGAGTTGACCTACCAACCCCCGGTGGCGCCAGGAGGATGTGAGGAGCACGCAGAAGCACGCCAGGAGCGACATGCTATGATTCGCTGGATGGAAATGATAATTTTCAGGAGCATTCACTTGGCCCCCCTTGTCATTTTTGCGCCTACTCCCCACTACTACGGAGTATTCCAAGTACAAAGGTTGCGCTGGCGACACAAGAGCAGTCAGTCGGGCGGCGGAATGGCTTGATGAAACCGACACCTGTCGTGCAAATGAATCGCTTATCCGCGAGGAACCTCTCGAAATCTTTGGCTTGGAGGCTGTCGGCAGATGGTGGGCGGGTAGAAATTGGCCAAGCAGAGGCGCGAGTGTTGGGTCTAATACGTTCGATGATGACAGCTGCTACGGTAATTCTCGTAGGCGTCTGCAATTCTTGCCCTGGGGCTTGGTTGAGATTTGATCCAACAGCTGGGGTTTCCCGGCCGCATTTGCGGGAATAAGACAATGGCATTGAGTGGTGGGCCAGGCCGCAATTTACCCCGCTTAAATCGACGGTGGAACCAAGTACTAATCCGGCTAGCGGCCATTACCCCTTTGGCTGCGGCTGCCTGCCTCATCACAATTGGTCACATGTGCATGATCCATGGCTGATTTTTGCCGCAACGTGCCGCAGCCATGTGTCGCCGACGGCAGCGGCTGCCACCAATCAAAGCGTGTCACGATTTGATATTCGTGGCACGCACCGAGCACCGCCGAAACTGGCTGCGGTCCACTTCAGCTGCATATCATATACAGTGTGGTGAGGCGAATCAACTCATCACCCTATAGGTTTACTTCTGGGACATGACGGGGAAAAAGGTGCGTGAAATTCCAACCTTGCAATAGGCAACAGATGGTACTAATGAAATCTAGTATAATAAGCCAGAATAGGCACAAGGCTTTGGACTCGTCTTGACTAACAAGGAGCACAATCCGGAGGCTAGCGGCGCGTAGCGTGTGCTTGCTTCATAGATAGCTCTCGGAACTCCTTTGCGGGCACGACTGGCATCAATGTATGTTTTGTTGGCCGTCCTGCCCAGGGTTAGGGTTAGGGTTGGCGAATATTGCCTCGTTCCTAGTAGTATCCCTCAAACGAATCGACCCGATCCGCTGCCACCTGCGCAACGGCCTGAGCGACCGGTAAATCCCCCCCCGTCACATCAAATGCCAACCCAATCGTGTCCGGGTTCGTCAAGCAGGCGGCCATAACCCGCGCAACGTCCTCCTGACTCACCGAATTCCCGAGATGAGCCTTGCCAACGAAGACGGAGCCCACGCCCGCATCGTCTGTGATCCTGCCGGGCCGAACTATAGTGTAGTCCAATTTGCGCCGGCTGTTTCCCACTCTCAGCTCTCGATCGGCAGCAAGTTTTGCTCTCATCCACGGATCTATAAAACCCCGTAGGCGTGCGCTAGCCTTGACATCCGCCTCATTGTACCAATCCGGGATCGGCCTCTTGTCGCAATCGCGCACATCCATCCCGGACACGATGATGAATCGCTTCACGCCTGCTTCCGCGCACGCGTCCATACACTTGATGGCTCCGTCTCGGTCGATGGATTCCGCGCGCTCGCTTTCTGCAAACGGCGCGCTGGCGAGGAACACGACGGACTCGGGCGCAATCTTGCCCATGGTGTTGGCGATTTCGGCTACCGAGGCTGCTTCAATCGACAAGACGACTGGCCTGGAGCCGAGGGCTTCAATGTCGGCCTCCTGGGAACTAGTTCGGATGATGCTGTGGACATGGTGGCTTGGCCGCGTCTCGGTAGCGAGGATGCGAGTGAGGTGACGCGCAACCTTGCCGTTTCCGCCAACGATGAGCGTGGTTGGCATGTCTGCGACAAACAAGGTTACGTGCAGCAGCCTGCTGTGATTTCAACAAAGGCGAATCTAGATTTTGAAGAAGAAGGGAGCATTGAATGCTCAAGGACCGGGAGAATCTTGGACCCCAACGCGACATGGGCACGTCTTTGTAGTTGATTGACCGACCGACGTGGGAACCTCGGCTATTCCTAATTCGTCAATAACCCTAACCCTACCACCTTCTCGATGGTGGGTACAACGGGCCGGTTAAACTTCAAATATGGACTTATTGCTTCTAACTCTATTTCACTCGACATGCAGGGGATTCACCACGACCCTGCGGAGCTAACCTTAATTGCTAATTGCCCTGCCGCTTGCCGCGCTGCAGCTGAGGACGTGTTTAATGTCAAGCCACCCGCGCCTCCACTTTTTATTGCGGCTCCATCGGCAAATCGCACCACCTTCGGCCCATCTCAGCGTTGTTCTGCTGATTCAACACCCAACGCATGAGTTCCCCCCATCTGAATATATATATTGATTTACGTATTGACGAAGCGGTCCAATAGTACGTCAGAGATTGCCCAAAACGCCAAGCAAAGCCCCCTCGAAGGATTTCACCCGCTGCAACGGGATCCAAATCCTCACTAGATGCAGCAATAAAGTCGAGTGTGGGGATTATTGGGCGGTTGGGAATAATCCAAGGGCGTCGTGGTCCTTGACTTGCCCGAGGACGAGCGGAAGTAGCCAGCTCTCACGGGTTGTTCTCTCAACATACGAGGCGCTGTCGGGAGTCGGCAAGCGGGCGGGGACAGGTTGACATGTCAAAGAATAATCCATGTTTTCTCGCACCGAGGTATGTTTGACATTATTGGTCATTTGACGCAAATGTCTCGAGTTGAAAATTCTCACCTCCTCCTTTTTTCAAACCGGCGGTTCCCATGAAAGGGGTTCTTCTGTGATTGTCCCGTTAGCCAACCTCCGCCTCCTTGTGTTCCACGGAAGTCACGTTGCCGTAAAGGCTCGGACAGATCCTTGTGTTGCACGGTTAGGACCCAACAATAAAATCCAACAAAGGGGCATTGCCGATAGAGGGCCTCGGGGTTAGACAGACTAAACACATGACCCGGTGGAAACCCTCCGCACAGCCGTTCCCTTCATCTATAGTATAATGGTCACTCGTCCCTACCCTCCTTTGAAAAACCAAGGACCATTGACATCCTACGAGATCATCTTTAAATTGATCCGTTTTCTGCTCCAAGACCTATCAAGCCCTTGTCACAGGGATACTTTCCGACATCGAGATGTATAGGCGGGCCGGCCCTGGCTGTGAGTCATAATTATTATATATATAATTATATAAAATAGCTCAAGTAGAATAAATAACTCTTGATTTTTTACATAAAAAGTAAAATAATACAAAACTAAATACTTGTTATAATACTACTACCAGCCAGGCAGCAGTATAGCAATAGCTGTTGCCTTGAATGAGCGACTTGATGTTGCCAGGTCAACTTTGCTGACTCTTCAACTCGCAGCCTAATCGTCTGCTTATTATCGATTTCCAACCGCAAAGGCTCGTCCAACTTCATTTGCAAAGAGTTTAGAAGCCGTCCTGCGGCTATCATTTCCTTGGCTGCTGCCGACGCTGCAACTAGCTCGGCTTCTGTACTAGAGGTTGTAACAACACCCCAAATAACCATATGTAACTATATGCCCAGGTATGGTTCCGTCCAGGGCAACTTCTTCTACTAATACCCATCTTCATCTCAATCTGTAAAGCACAGCCAATCCTGGTCTACATTTTCCTCAACCTGAAGGGAGGGTGGAATAGACACGAATAGGCTGTTCCAGTCGGGTTCAAAATCCGGAAGATTCGGCTGCTCTACTGAATGTAGGCCGCGGGACAAGCGATGCTCATAGTCTTGCGAAATGCCGTGGAAAACACCGTATGCAGCCTCGGCGTTGGGCCAAAAGACGGCCAGCAACTTTGTACATTTCAGCATCCCTTTGAGTCTTTCCGAAAGTTCGATGGCGACCAAGAAGGCTTTAGCCAGGACAGCGGATCGCAATTCCTGAACAAGTTGAATGCCCACAGCAACAACGGCACCGACGACCGTGAAGGGACACTTTTTCAATTCATCAACAGCTGCGATTTGCTCGACTGAAGAGATGATGGCATCGGCTGCCGCATTGCATACCCTCGGACTGTGTTCTAATACCTGGCTGTAGTTGCGATGCAGGTGTAGGACGACCTGGTAGTAGTGTATTCGCAAAAGGTGTCTAAAACACTCTTCATGCTCTCCCCCCGATGACAAGTCACAGCTGATCAGCCACCGGCCTAGACGAAAATCAATTTGCGACAGCTCCGGCTTTGCTGACGCCGAGGGAGAGTTGAGAGTTAGAATGTCCAGAACAATGTAGGCGAGCTCGACCATTCGTAGATGATACGCCAACGCAGCCTGACCAGGAGAGGCCTCCTCCACACGACCATCGGTCTCCCGAGTCCATAAAGCTTCATTGAAGTCTTCTTCACACAAAGAGGACTGGTCAATATCTTCTCCCCGAATTGCGCACGGGCGCCCCAGCTCCAGCGATGCGAAAACTTCGGCCACGAATGCTGCCCAGAAAAGGCGCTTGTACATGGCGTGATCGAATCTGGGTAACCTGTCATTATGTCGATGTAGACCCAGTCCACTGGCAATCCGGATAGCCTCCCCAGTCCAGTACCAAGGGCCGCCGCTGATGGTGTCGCCATCATTGATGTGCCAGGTGAAGAGCAGAGCTGCTTGCGCTAGATGTAGGCGGTCCGTCTCATGACGAAGATGGAAAAGCATGCTCGCCCGGCGGAAAAGGACAGATTTGACTGATCGCCGATCTTTTTTCACCAGATGATGGGTGCAAACATGGGCCCCGGCCAGTAGCACTGCATGGAACAACAGTAACGGTGGTCGAGGAAGGAGGTTTCCGCTCGAGTCCAAGAACTTGGACCTGGAGAGGATGGGGACAAGGGGATCAAGGTGCTGAAAGTAGGCCATGACCAGGGCTTGACGGACCTCCAAGACTGGAAACGATGACAAGTCGGTGGCAAGGTCGTCTGAAGGGTACAAGGAAAACTGTGACTGACAGCTCCACGACTTTAGAGGCCGGATCTGGGGATACGGATAGTGGAGCTGCGGCTGATCATCTCCGTCCGACTGAAGAGGCCGAGACTGGTTCGCACCCGCTTGGTAGGCGCCATTCGTGGGGAAAATTGGGGGTTGTTGCCAGGCAGACAAGCCCGATTGTGGGGTTTGCAAGAGCTGTTGGTTGGGTTGGGATATATCGACAAGAGCTGAATTCTTGGAAGGGCGTAGAGAGACAAGATGTACCAGATTTGAAGCGGGGGTTCCTATGTATGCAACCCTGAAATTGTCTTCGAGTTCGCTGACACGCCACCAGTCAGGAGAAGCTACGTCGTCAAAGAAGCGTACGAGTCCAGTAGAGGCCAGGTTATCAGGAGCTTCCGTAGGGTCTGTTGTCTGGGAACCATCTGCAGTGTTGGAGTCACTTGTTCGAACCTTGTGCGGACCACAGGCCGGTGGAAGTGTTCTGGCAGACTCTGACTCCGAGACACGAGGCTGGATCGGAGAGTCGGTCAATAAGTCCAGTGATGGACGCGAGGACGCTCCTCGATTTGGCGGTGGCCATTCGGTTCTAACGCTGAGGCTCATGCGTTAGCTTCAGCACCATGTCAACATCAACGCTCAAGGGACTAGACACACACACGCATTCTATTCCTCCATTGTCACACGTAGTACAAGGGCCGCTTCCTTTGGACACCAGGTCGCATCGCACCTTGCGGCGTCGGCAGAGGTCACAAGATTTACGCTGCTGTCTGCGGAGTGCCATGGCTAAGGGTCCAAGTCAAAGCAAAGTTGCAACGTGTTCCAACATTGAACCTAGTATGTTGGGAGACGCCAGGAAAAGACGAAGGGTCAAGTCTGGTATTATATACCTCGAGGAACGCAAGGCTCCTAGAGGACGGACCAAGACGCGGGGTTGGGCCTAAACCTTCCGGGTGAATTGCTCGGGACCCGGCTACTTTTTGCTAGGACGGGCCCGGTTTGACCCACCACGCTGCCATTTCAGGCTAGCGTACGGTGGGCGATAGGGGACATTGGGATAAAACCCTGAAATCGGCGGATAAATATTAAAACGGGTTAGCCGCTTAAATGTGTTGCCTTGGAGTATATTAACACAAGTACCTTAGTTTAACGTTCTTTAATTTATATTATATTACAGTAAATCCAATACTTAATGGACCCGCTATGAAATAATAGCACTACCCCTGAACAAGCATCGCTAATTTTGTAGCGTTATTGCATCGGTGTCAGCCGAGTGCACTTCAACGGCTTAGCCCGTTACAGAATCACTTGACTTCTAACAGGCACTCAACTTCAATACACTACAGAAGCTATAAATGTAGCTATTCATGAAGTTCAACTGTATTATTAATACCTATATTCTAGAAGGCAATATAGATCAAAGAAGGGGGGAAATAGATCAAGTCCTACAGGTCTCAGTATATTTGGATAATCAATCCCCTTGCCTTGGAAGAGCCCAGGTTTGTGTTTAATAGTGTTGACTTGGTGTGAGTCATGTACCGAGACATGATGAGTCACTGCGTGCCACTAGGTATTTATATGTATGAGAGCTCTCAGCCAGAATTTAATACAAGTAAGATCAATCGCAACAAATAGTTACTCCAAATATAAAGTGGTTGCATACAGAATTGGAACTGCTCTCTCCCCATCGTATTATATTATATCTTGATAAGCCAAATTTACGCACGAGTACACAGTCGCCTAACAACAGTTCACCCGACTTAAATCTACCGGCCCCAAGAGGAGTCCAAAATCGATGAACTAGTCACGAGGAACTTCTGCCAAGAGCCGGGGTCCCTTGAATTTATGGCCAGCTTGGACGAACCAGTTGATGGCCGAGAAGATGACCATGATTCCAATCACGACCGAAGTATAATCTGAATGGTGGTTAGCCTTGACAGCCCTCGGAAGCAAGCAAGAGCCAGGGGATGAATGGCATACTCATGTTGGAGCCTGTCACAGGCAACTCGATTGGAAAGCAATACATGACCAGAATCAAGAGGAAGAACAATACGGTGACGGCGTTTGCAATCCAGCCAAGCGGGCCCAGTCGGATATATCTGTTTGGAGGGAGAACCGAACTGGATCGTTTGTGCCAGAGCAGCAGGGCGGCAGGGAGGGCAAAGCTGCACTGTTGCAGGACCAGTGCAGTACCGATGAATGCATTAAAGGCCGTCGAGGAGCCTAGGTAGATGCAGCCGATGATCAAAATGACGGTTGCGTTGGCCACGAGAGCCCAGACCGGCACCTCCCATCGCGGGTGGATGCTGCCCATGAACTTGGATCCGATGATTGCATTGTCGCGAGCGAATGACCAGGTTAGTCGGGCAGTGACTTCGACACATGCGTTGAGGGCAAAGCACGCGATGCAAAGAAGGAGCATCATGAAAATCGTGGCTGCAACGCCGGATCTCGTAGCCTGAAACCATATCTCGTAGATGGGAACCCTGGAAAGCGGAACGTATTGTGAGAAGTCATGACATGTACAAAACCGTGCCTCTCGACGGTGACATGGAATGCTTGACTTACCCCGTGATATTCTCCAGGACCTGGCCGAAATCGGTCAAGGTATAAAGCATGGCGAGGCCAAAGGCAAAAGCGACGACGAAGCCAACGACAATGGTACTGAATAGGGCTCGAGGGACAGTCTTGCTGGCGTGAGCACATTCTTCGGCCAGATGCACAGCCCCATCGAGGCCGGCATACATGAAGTTGGGATTGGCCATTCCGGTCAAAAAGACGACGGCGCGAGAATCCCAGCCCGACTCGGGCTTGGGAAAGTCGGTCCACACAAAAGTATTTGACTGGTAGGATTGTGCGCGGGCCAAGCAGCTGACGAAGATGATGACAAATGTGAAGATGGAGAAAAAGACTGTTCAATCCAGCGTCAATGCACGGGTGACTCTGTTTTGCGAACCAACAACTTACAGCCGACGTCATGTATCCATCTCGTCCGGCGAAGCCCAAAGATGTTGTACAGAAGAAACACGAGATTTGTCGCCTGGAAATAGAGAAAGTATTCCCACGCAGGGATCTCCAAGTCAGGGTTGTAGAAGAGGCGTACCGCTGATATGAACTGTCCGGGCTGGATCGTAATTCCGCTGCAGATGGAAAGCCAACCAAAGATGTTGGATGCTGCGCACCAGTAACTCTATAGAAGCCCAGACGTCAGCAGGCGTGTCACCGGGACTGCGTTGGGGTTGACTTGCGAGATGGCGGTAAGCCTTCTTGGGCGCCAGAATGGACGTCCAGTGATACGGACCCCCTGCAGTGGGATAAACACTGGACAACTCGGCCATGGTGGCAGCCGAGCATGCCATGGCAAAGGTGACGACAAACGTGCCGTAGATGACGGTGACGGTGCCCCCTTGCTCCAGGCCGATAACCATGGTGGCGGCCAGGCCGACCCAACAGTTGCAGATGTTATACCCGACACAGAGAATGTCGAATGGGCCTACATCTCGTTTCGTCTGTTGCTCGAGGCCGAGGTTGTTTAGCGTTACATGAGTGTCCAATTGCTGCAGATGGCCTGGCTTTCAGTTAGGATGCCATTCAAGAAGAACCCAGGCTAGAGTAGGCCATTACATATCTCTACGTCGCCCCTCTCGTAGCCTAGAACCAACACTCCCTCAGTAGATGCTCTGGATATAGCTTGATCGGGCATTAAGGGGTATTTGGACATACCTGCGACTGGACCCGTAGTGGGAGTCTCCGAAGAAGTCTTCATGCTTGCGGTGGGTTGGAATTGCTTTGGATATGACATTGGAATTTCTGAGTGAAGCTTCCTTCAGAGATGGGACTTTCAACGGCGAGGTGGGCATCTTTGAAGAAATCGGGCAAATTTGAGGCGATGCGGAATGTTCTATGCGCGTACAGATGCCGGGAGAGACGAGGCTTGGGGAAATGGTTCATATTGTCGGCTCCGAGACGGAGGGATCCCTTGAAATTGGACAAGGGCTCAAAAGTCAACAGTCGGACGGCTCGATTGTCGTACTGTGGCTGCCGAAGAGCGACCAGACGGATCCGGATCTCGGGACAGGCGACTGCCGATCCAAACGCTCGGAGCCGATAGCCAATCAATCAAACAGATGGAAACTCGGCTCCGGAGCTGTCAACAACATTCAACCTGGCCGAGATATAACTACCAGATAAGCATGGACCTTGACTCCAATTGACACATGTTCAAAGATTGTCTCAATGCTCGTCTAGGATACTCGCGCTGTGCGACGCACAATCATCACGACAAAAGGTAAGATGGCGGGTCTCTTCGATCTCACGGACAAGACCGTAGTCGCGACAGGGGCAACCAGGGGCATCGGCCAATCTATGACAATAGGTCTAGCCGAATTAGGAGCCGACGTTATCAGCCTACAGGTAGGTATATCTACCCTTGACTTAATACATCTACAGCTACCTGATACGGACAGAGGGACTTGAGCAACACGGAAACGCAAAACAAGGTGCTGGCTCTTGGCCGCAAATTCACAGCAATCCACTGCGATGTATCCAACAACACCAAGGTTCTCCAAGCTATGCGGGAAGCCTTGGCATTGACCCGGGTGGATATTCTATTGAATGCGGCTGGCTTACAGCGGCGGTCCCCGGCCCAAGACCTCTCGTACGAGGCATACGAGGAAGTCATGGACGCTAATCTCTCCGCCATCTTTACGACTTGTCAAGAAGCCGGGAGGTACTGGCTCGACAAGGGCCAGCAAGGCGTCATCATCAATGTAGCCTCCGTCGTCGCTGTGCAAGGAGGTGTCAATATGGCGGCCTATGCCGCCAGCAAAGGTGGTGTGCTGCAACTGACGAGAGCATTGAGCAACGAGTGGGCCGGCCGAGGCATTCGAGTGAATTGTGTCTCCCCAGGGTATGTGAATGTTGTCCCATCGAATCGGGTTGCATGCTTATTCGCAAAAAGCGAAATTGCTACAGATATCAACAAGGACGTTCGAACAGAGCCCGAGTATCGGGAGCACTACGACTTTCTCACCAAGCGCATTCCAATGGGCAGGTGGGGGGTGGCCGACGATTTCAAGGGCGTAGCTGTCTTCATGGCCAGCAAAGCGAGTTGTTACATGTCGGGAGAAAATCTTGTCATCGATGGGGGTTGGCTGGCAAGATGAAGCTGAGTAGGATCAATCAAGTCGTCTACACCGGGCAGTCAAGAGAAGACGTTTCTGGCCCGACGCCAGTTTTGGATTAAACAGAAAACTTGACAACAATTCTATAGTGACCGAACGCGTCCTATAGTGAAATTCCGTGGCAATGCCAAGCACCAACACAGTGCCTCTGAAAATTTTAATTTTTCTTCCCTTCTTGTTCTTGGGGAAAACGGTAGCGCCAGAAACTCTCTACTTGATTTGCTGGTAGAGTTGACTGGAGCCTTAGGCAATGATAGCTTTACTAGTAGTATCCGACCTGGCTTTGCATTTTCCACCTAAGCTGAATGACAATATATGGCTCATACGGTGTAGTGCTTCAAGGTAGAAATACTGAAAAGCGAGGCCCAAAACGCAAGTGCTTGATTCTTCATCATTATTTGAGTACATATCTGGTCTGTCCGGAGACGACTCTTCATTAAGCAGCAGGGGTAATGTTTTCGGTTGCCACTGTACCGCAGAACCTACCAGAATATGCATCTCGGCGTTTATCGCCAAGGCAGATACAGCCATAGTCATTGCGCTGTCTCGTGCGTCTTCCATGGCATTACCCGGAGCACCTTGCGAACCGGACATGGCGACGGGGATTGTATCAAGGTACGAAGCATCGCTCTGACCGGCGGAAATCCGAATCCCGGTAAAGCTGTTGCAACAAAATTGAACCTCCCTCCGTCGGCACCGTCGGCTCCGGAGCACTTTGGAAAAATTACGAACAACTCCCCGAGCGATGTGTCGGGATCAATTTTTGAGCTAGCATCACCCGCGCTCAACTGACAAGTCAACGAGAAATATTTAAATGATATTCAAGAAGGGACATTTCAGTCTCTGCATAGTTTGGGTGCAAGAGAAGAGTTAACTGCCTGCCTCTCGTAGCCAGAAGAACGAGATGGAAATTCCGAACCCCGCCTCGAAGCCACGGCAGCCTGATCCCATCACAGTCGCAGAAGTCGAGGCAATTGCAGCCAAAACATTGTCCAAACAGATCTACGAATTCTATGCGTCCGGCTCCGATGAACAGAAGCTGCTGAAAAGGAACATGTCTGGATATGACAGGTATATGCAGCCCAGCCCCTCGTGGAAAAAGTAATCTCGGTTCATGGTGGTTGCAGGTTGTACATAGTCCCCCGAGTTCTCCGTGATGTCTCCGACGTGGACACCAGGGTCGAGATGTTTGGCTCGAAATTGAACATGCCCATCGGCATTGCGCCAAGTGCGATGCAAAGACTGGCAGGCCGAGGCGGAGAGATTGATGTGGCACGCGCCGCTGTACACGAGCGAGTCAATTTCACGTTATCATCGCAGTCGACGACCTCACTCGAGAATGTCATGGCTGTGAAAACCAGTCAAGGTGATTCGACCCCGACGCCTGACTTCTGGTTCCAAATCTACCTCACGCAGGACTTGGACAAGAGTGTGGACTTGATAAAAAGGGCAGAAGGTAGGCCTTGCATCCGGGTCCGATAAAGTAAAGGCAAGACTTGACGGTTGACTCGCCACAGTGGCGGGCTACAAAGCTCTTGTTGTCACGGTAGATACTCCGGTCCTGGGAAACCGTGTCAATGAAAGAAAAAACGTGCTAGCCCTACCGCGCGGTATGAGGCTTGCGAATCTTGAAGAAGATGACGCGGATTCAGCAAAGACACCAACACCTACGCGCAACCGGCTGCTGATGGACGCCCGCACCAAACATGATGCCAGGTTGGTCGTTGAACTCGGTGGCGGAGAAATGCATGCCTCGAATTTGTCTTGGGCCAAGACGCTGAGCTTCCTCAGAGGTGTGACGACGATGAAAATTGTGCTGAAAGGGGTCATGACACCTCAAGATGCAAGGCTGGCGATATTGTACGGCGCCGACGCAATTGTCGTGTCAAATCATGGAGGTCGACAGCTGGACGACGCACCGTCGACGATAGAGGTCTTGGCAGATATTGCGCACGCTGTCCGCGGTCGCATACCCATCATCTTGGACGGTGGTATTCGTCGTGGCGCCGACGTTTTCAAGGCCATCGCTCTCGGTGCGGACCTTGTTTGGATTGGGAGACCTGTTCTTTGGGGTCTCGCCTACGACGGTGACAAAGGTGTCGGCGCGGTGCTGAATATTCTCGAGAGGGAACTCAGCCGCACAATGGCCTTGGCTGGGGTTAGAGAGATATCCGAGATAAGCAGCGCCTATTTAGCGGTAGCAAATCCGACCTTTGGAGTCACCAAGTTGTAATAGACAGCCTCCAGCCAGCGCTAG